TCATTGACTCATTTAATTATATAATACTCATGAGATGGTGTTTAATAATCTCTAATACTTAATAGAAATAAAAAATAAAAATAAACAGAAACTTGCCACATTATATTTTTTAGAGAGATTTTTGCTATAGAGTACAGGAACTCACCAGAAAGAGAGATAGAAAGTGATAAATCATCCCCCTTCCCCCAAGGGATATGGTCACACTGCAATCCCTTCTCCCTCCATCCTCCTCTTGGGATCTTGGGCATGTATGTATGCATATGTGTCCAGTATGAGTTTTAAGCCACTGGGACTGGGACTTGAACCCTGGTTGACTATGTGGAAGTCTAGTACGTAACCATTATGCCGTCTTCTGGTCCCTCTAGTACTGCATTAATATCTATATATACTAATATATCACTTTCAATAATGAATGCAATAAAATTTTATGCTTAATCCACAATCTATCTAAAATATTTGTAATTATATGTAAGTCTGAATATGTTATATACCCAAGTTATCAGCAAAGAATATTATTGGCACATGCAATGGATGCTTGCTAATGGACATGTGATTTCTATTGATTAGACTGTTTATGGACGTTTTTTACAGAAAGAATCCCCTCAGTATTAATACAGAAATTCCCTTGGAGACAACAGGTGGAATGGTGGTTAAGGCACTGTACTCACCCATGGTTTACCATGGTTCGAATCCCAGACCCGGCAGATTGAAATTCATGGCAGACACACATGTGTGTGTGTATCCAAAATCCCAAGAGGAGAATGGAGGAGAAGGGATTGCAGCTTGGCCATCCCTTCAGGAAGTGATTTCTCACTTTCCTTCTTTTTGTCTCTCTCTGGCGAGTTCATGCACCCTATGACAAAAACCTATAAAAATAGACAAAAAGAATGTCTTAGCTTCTTTGTTCTTAGACTTTGGTTACAAAGAAATGCAGAATCTTATACCTACCAAGAAAGCTCTTAAAAATATTGCTTCTCCATGGTTTAAGATGGATCTTTCTTGATTGAGGAAAACAGTGATGATATGATGGAAAGAAAACACAGTGCTTGAAATCAGAAGATACTTTGCCCGGTAATAAGTTGAGTAGCCTTTGGAAAATCACTTCGCCTCTCTGGCCATCAGTCCTCTCATCTATAAATTTAGCTACAAGTCCTTTATTCTAAATTCCTGGTGACTCATGTTATTAACTGTCACAGCTTTCTAGTGTACTGAGTAATTATATTCAGAAATTTTCTATAATTTTTCCCCATAGAACATACTTTGATATGTCAGCACAGTTGCTTATTATTTTTTTTTGAGAGGTTTTTGCTGTAGGGCGCGTGTGCTCGCCATAAAGACGGAGAGAGACAGAGAGACAGAAAGCAAGATATCACCCCCAAGGGGGGATGGCCATACCACAATTCCTTCTCCTTTATTCTCCTCTTGGGATCTTGGGCATGCACGCACACATACCCGATTGAGTTTAAGCCACTGGGTACGGGACTCGAACTGTGATCAGCTACATGGGAGTCCAGCGACATAGCCATAATGCCAACTGCTGGTACCGCTTATTTTTGTTTTTTAAAGAATTATTTATTTAATTTCATTATTATTATTATTTTAATTTGGTATAGGTCATGCACACTCACAAAAGAGAGAAAGTAAGAAAGCAAGCCACCTAGTCTGGGACTTAAACTGCACTCAGCCATTTGCGAGTCCAGCACCTTAACCACCATCCCACCTGTTGGCCCCTCAACGCAGTTTTTTATATCTTAAGAGTGTTACAGTTTTGAATAACGTGGTTTGACATTGAGTATTCTAAAGGTTACGTTTTAGTTAGGCCATGTAATGTCTTGCATATCAGTGCTCAGAAACATGAATAAATGGATCTTTTAATAATAGGCATGTGAAACTATAGCTATAAAATCTGCATTCAAAATAGAAAATATACAGTGATATACCCATTTCATGTCCTAATTAATTCATTTCATCTAAAAAGATTTAAAAATGATTTTTTTTTTTTGCTTCATGGAGTTTAGATTACAATTTACTTCAAAACTTTCCCCCTTATCCAATGCTTGTAATAATAGGATAACAAAAAAGGAACCCTGTATCCTTTAAGTTCCAGTGTTGTCATGTTGCTCTGAAGTTTGTTGATTTTACAGATATATTTCTCATGTCTTCATTTTTATTTTCAGCATATCTCTATATTTGAGAAAATACTTTTAAACAATAAGTGCAATTTTGAAAAATTAAAATAATTTCACTGTCAGTCTAATTGATTTTTAAAACTGTTATTTTTAGTTTGATAACTGGGTAGTAATGGTGCA